CTGGCCATTTCTGTTTTTATGTCAATAGTTTGGTGTTCTCTTAACTTTCTAGCATCCACTAGGGGCTTTAGAATAATACAGCATATAAAGACAAATGAAGACTATTGTCTATTTCAAATAAGCAGTCAGTTGCTACGCAAACATTTGTAGTCTAAAATTACCTTTTTCTCTTTTCTCTTTCTGAGACAAAGATCACTATGTAACCAGTCTTTTCTTGAATTTGCAATCCTGTGCCTCAGCCTCCCAGCTAGGGTTTCAGGTATACATCACCACAAGAATAGTGCCCCCTCTTGAGGGAGACCAAGAATAGAAATCTCCTTTTTTTTTAAAAAAAAAAAATAAAATATGTTTATTTAGTATTTATATAAGTGCATTTATTCAACACACTTTTGTTTATGCGTCTCCAAAAATATGATCTGATATCAAGGAAGTAATAAATGGTTAAATGGTTGTTTAGCTTTTGTTTTTTTTTAAATTTTATTTTATAATTAATTTAATTTTACATATCAGTCACGGATTCCCCTGTCCTCCCTCTTCCCACCCCCTCTTTTTCCCCCCCAATCTACCTTGCCTTGGAGGAGGTGGGGATGGGGGGTAGAAATCTCCTTTTGATCATTGTCATTTTGAAAACTGAGGACCAAAGCATCACTAACACTAATCAGAGTAAAAAAATCTACTATCTTCACACAGATGTCCTGGAGAAAGACTACACATAGATTACAATTATAAAATGTATAAGTCTTAGGGAGAAATAACTGGACAACTCACGGGAACTTGTTGGGATCATCATCATTTATATATTTTTTATATTTTGTGATTGAAACTTATACTTTTGGTTGACCTAAAGAAGTAAGAAACTTATTACCAATAATAGACTGGCTTGCATGAAAGTATATTTGTGCAATATAAACTAGAAAATTAGAAGTTTTCAATGCGTCAACTTAGTGGCTCTGTTCATTTCACAAAGAGACAATGATATTGTAGAAACAATTCTAAACCATTTTGATCTCCTCTTTCCTATTATTCTCTTACCTAGTTTTATTGGAACAAATAATTATAAATGCTATGACTCTTTTTATTTTGTAATCCTAAAATACAGCATTTCTTCCCTTGAATTTCCATCTGTAGAAGTGTGTGTGCATCACAGCCATGTTTCAGTGTTGCTCTTGAGGAAGGGATAGCTGAAGGCCAGAAAGTCTGCTGTCTCTCTCTAAGATGTCTTGACTCTAAACAAATAAGAGTAGCACAAACAAGTGATTTAAATTACATGGAGTCACTTATATTTTAATGTTTTATAAAAGGCAGAGTTTTCAAAAATATTAAAATTCTTTTTATACAATATATTTTGAACATATTCTTTCTTTTCCCTCCAACTCCTTATATATCTTCTCCACCTGCCTAAATACTCAACTTAATAGTCTGTCTTTCTCTAAAAAATGAAAATCAAAACAAGTTAGACAAAAAAAAAAGAAGAAAGAAAGTCAGTCAGTCAAACAAACCAACCCAACCATCCGCAAGCCCATGCATTCCATTTTTTTTTTGTTGGCTAACTACTTCTTGGTGTGCGTGCGACTCTGTCTTGTGTTTGTTTTTTTTCTTCCGTCTCTCTTTATTGAAACTGATTTTTTTTTTTCTTTGTCGGTATGTATTGCTTGTAGCTTGTTTGTTGGTTGTGTGTTTCCTGCCTGCTTCCTTTTTTTTGTGTGTGTGCTTGCTTGTTTGTTTTTTTGTTTTTGTTTGTGTCTTTTGTGTGTTTTCTGTGTCTGTGTGTGTTTGTTTGTGTGTTCGTTCTTTTTTTTGTGTGTGGCGGTCTTTCTTTGGTTTGATTCATCCCCTTTGTTTGTTTTTTTTTTTCTGCCTCCTCTTCTACATAGATCTCTTAGTCTTGAGGGAGGAGTTAATAAAGACATTCTATTTAGGACTAAGTGCTCCAAAATCTCTTACTTCTTCACATTGTTCAGTTGTGGGTCTCTGCTAATTAGCATCTACTGAAAGAAGTTTCTCTGATGAATGGTGAGTGAGTCACTGATCTATGGCTATCTAATAGGCCATTAGAAGTCATTTTATTGATATATTCTTTTAGCAGAATAATAATTGTTGGTTGCCTCCTAGTATCCTTGATCTATCTAGTCTCAGGTTCTGGGAATGTTAACAAGTGTCAGATATATGCATTCCATCCCATGAAAAGGGTCTTAAATCCAATTTTAAAAAGTGGTTGGTTACTCCAATAACAATTGTGCCACCATTTCACCAGTATATTTTGCAGGCACATCATTGTTGTAGGTTTCAGGGTTTGTTGCTGAGTGATATTGATGATTACTTTTCTCCCATGGAAGCAAGGATCACTCAACTCTGGAACAATGAATGCTAATCAGCAGGGGTAAAGCTGTTAGTTGAGCATGGGCCCAAGTTCTCCATGTTTGATGACATTAGTGGCATATTCAGTAATAATCAGGTTGTGGAGAACAATCAATAGGCTGTGATGCTCTGGTTTGTCTATGAGACCCCGTTAGCCAATGACTCAACAAGATCTTCCTTTTGGGTTGTAAAAGGCCGAGTTTGGAAGTATATAAAAGTAAAACCCTGATAAGATTTAAAAACATGTATGGGGGGAAAGTTTAGAGGGAAAGAGATGAACAACTTAAAGTTATTTGATACAATAATTTTTGTATGTTTTATTCCATACTTCATAATTTTATATACCTTTTAAGTTTCTAAAATTTAAGACCATAAAATATATAAATATAAAAAGACCAAGTGGAGAAATATATTGTTTTATTAGACAAAAGATATAGAGATATTAAAGCTTTCAGCCAGACTCAAAAGAAGAAGAAAAGCTCAGTGGGAATAGTGGCATCTAGAAAAAATATTCTGAGTCTTTTGTGAGAACACAATTTCTAAGAAAACTGAAAAATGAAGAATAACGTGGAAAAATAGCACTTGTGATACTAAATATGAATAGTCTGATTCTAGCAACAAGGAAAAAATTATATTGAGTGTCACAAATGGTATATATTAGAATTTTGAAAACAGTTTATGGCAACTATTATGGTATATGTTCATAATTCCAGTGGTCAGAAGACAGAGGCAGGAGGATTACAAGTTCAGTACTGGCATAGACAACTTGGCAACACACTCTTTTGAACAAAACTAAATATCAAAACATTTTTGGTTCTGGCACTAAGTGACATGTATCATCTTTGATAGAACTAATTGTGGAAGAACAAATTCACAATCTCAAACTGATTATCTCTTTAAGCTCCAAGAACACTTGCAATATTACTGATTAGCAATGAAATGCTTGTTCAAGAGGAAGGATTCATTCACACATCTACCCACAAAGCAAGCAAAGACAGGAAGCATCATTGGATCAAAACACTTTACACATTAGCAACAATTGCAAAATTTTCTTTCATTAGAGATTAAAGGCATTGATGCTTTTAAGTCATGAAAACTAATTAAATGTACACAGTGAATCCAATGTAAAGTGCCAAGAATATTAGCAAGCAGCAAAAATTAAAAAGTGAAATGAGCTAAAGATCAACAGAGTCTTTTGTTTCTTCCCATCATTTAGTAAGTAGGTTTGCAATTAACCCTAAACCACAGTAAACACAGAGCCAGCCACCTGTGCAGAGTTTCTGGCTTCTATCAAGATGATTCACAATTCCCAAAGCTAGTTAAAAAAAATAAAATAAAATCAGCCTCCAATGACTGCAGATTGGTCTGGGAAGTTGGTAGGGCCGAGGTAATCTGAGAAGGCTCCAACTTGAATGAATAGACCAAAGGGCATCCTGATCCTGGAAATCAACGTCATAGGGAAGTTTTTCACCAGTTTCAGCATGCAAAAGCTGCTGAAATTGTGGCCCAAGGAGGACAGGCTCCAATCTCCAGCTGGCAGCAGAATTTGGCAGTGTCTATCATATAGTTTTTGTGGCAGTGTGAATGAGAATTACCTCAGTGGCCCACATGTTTGAGCATTGGTCCCCAGAGAGACACTAGGAATGACATGAATCTTTTGTAATCTCAAAGCCCCCCTCCAGTGATGCACCTCCTCTAAAGAGGCCATCATCCTTCTCCTCCCCAAACAGTTCTACTGTGGTTCCCGCCCAGGGCAGAGGCTTCTCTTTCGCAGTGCTAATCTCTTACAATTATAGCCTCTTTCAGCAAATGACTTGACGACAAGCACCAACTTCCCCAGTGCACCCTTTCTCCCAAATTGTACAAATTGTACATTTTTAAAATTTCCTTCTGCCCCACTTGTCGCTCTTTTCCCCTGGAGAGGCACATAAGAATAATCAGTAAAAAGAATGCCACAAATTTAATGTATTGTCTTGAAAATCCCTCCACCATATAAATCAGTCCATCACTTTTCAATTCAGCTTCATGTAAATTCTCAGGAGATAGGCCTAATCCAGTGAGGTTCTTTACCAAAACATCACATGAATGGTCTCTAGCCCTGTTGCTAATAGGGTCCTTGTTTCTCTCTGAAACCTTGTGATTCAGACAGCCACTGTCTGCGTTACTCTCAGCATATCTGCCTTCCAATATTCCATAGAAATGACCCTATAATCTCTACATACAGCATTCAGTAGTTTTTTAAGCCCAAAGTTCAGGGTGGGCTTATCAGAGGGATAACCCCACTTCCTCAGTAACCGTTTTGCATTAGTTATTTTTCTGTTACTGTGATAAAGCACCCTAAACAAACAAAACAAAACAAAACAAAACAAAAAACAAAAACAAGCAAACAAACAAAAAACAAATAGAAAAGAGTTTATTTTGGCTTACAATTCCATATGCATAGAGACCACCACAGCAGGGAAGGTATGGCAGCATGAGGCTGGCCTAGCAGGCAGAAAAGAGAGTGATCACATTTCATCTACATACAGGAATGAGAGAGAGAGAGAGAGAGAGAGAGAGAGAGAGAGAGAGAGAGAGAGAGAG